TTAAAGATTTCTTTCATGCTTCCCCCTCATTCATAAAATGACCTACATTGGAATGGATTCATAAGACCACTACTTTTTTCCTTCAAATACCTCCTTAAGACTGACCTCTGCTCTGATGCCTATAAGAAATCAGCCCATTAATGATGGCTCAAGGAATAGATGGGGACAATTTGACATGTTATTTTTAATAATAAAAGCACATATATACAAGCGATATGATTGTACCTCTCTCTCCCCCAGAAGTTGTTGTATATCACTTGTCGTCTTTATGGCAAGATCTTTGGATCAAAGACGGTGTCTTGTATTGTTTGTAGAGCACCTAGCAAAATGGGGCTCAAATCCTTTGTGTGCTACTGCAGTATCAATATGTAGAAATTAATGCATTGCTGTGATAGCTATTGCCCTTTTCCAGCAGCTCAAGTGATACTAAAAAGGGTCTGTGATTACTACATGTTGTGATTGTGATTGGGTATACAAACCCTACACTGGGCAACAAGCAGTTGAGCTGCTTTGGGGTCAGCTAGCCTGGCCCCATCACACTTGCAAAAGATGCACAGATTGGAAGAGGAGTTGAAAAGAAGCAGAAGAGCATCCTTGTGAGCAGACCAGGGAAGAGAAAAGACTTGTAGCTTGCAGCTCCTGTGTTTTGTTTATGGACTATCCTGGAAGGGGAGAGACTTGGGACTGACCTGGCTAGAAGGCCAAGACACAAGAGGAGGCACCTGCCTCCCCAAGAGGGAGAGAGCTACCATGCCATGCCTGGCTGCGAAGAGATGACAAGCAGTGAGCTGACCCCCTTCACAGCCTCCTGGAATAGACTTTGGACAATAGCTGAGTGGTAGGAAGTGGCCGAGGAAAAGCAACCTTAATGTGCTCCTGGGTGTCAGACCCGTGTGTCACCCTCATGGGGCCCAGTGCAATGGGAGGGCCCAAGTTCTCCCACCAAAAACCCCCTCTGCAGGTTGAAGGGCCAAAGCCCTGATTGCTAAACAATGCTCCCCAGGAACAAAGACTATCACACTTGTACACCGTATTTGCCATGCATTCATCTAGACTAGGAATAAAAGTATGCTGTTAGTACTTGACTAGTTTAGTACATGTTAAAGGTAGGGTGCCTTGTCTAGACTAGACTTTTAAAACACGTTAGCAAGTGGCTGCTAATGTGTGGTAACATCACAGCTTAAAGCCTAACCTAGGAAAGCATCACACCGTGCAAAGCACTGGAATTAAAGTAGCAGGATTCGGTTACAATCCAACATAGAGTGGAAAAATACTGACATATCTAATATTTCTGAAGGTTTTTTGCATTCAAATATGGTAGATTAGGTTCCTACTGCACCACGTCTAATATTTTGAAGTCATGTTAAGTAGTAATTTGGGGCTTTGAATCTTTTAGATACGTAGTTCTGTAGATTTCATTTATTTGACTGTTTACATTTGCCTGAACTAAATATTTAAAATAGCCTTAAAGTGTGTGTATGTTTGCTAGGGTGAGGGGAATGTTAGTTTTGTATATAAAGATAGAAGGAGAATTAAACTTGAAAATAGGAAAGATGGGAACCTTATTTACCAAATGTTACAGTATAATAGTGAAAGAGAAAGAAGGCCAGAAAACTTACAACTGGTAAATGGGAATGGAACAGTAAGCAACTTGTACAGTTATCCCCAATGAATGAAATAAACAGTTTTCACCACTCTGCTCTATAGCCTGTTTTATTTGTGTCACATAAAATCTTTCCTTTTTCCTTTTACTTTTTTATTGATTTCTTTCTGATCCTGGAACAGTTCAGTCTAATAAATTGCAAAGCTGTTTGATGACTATGCTAGCTTCAAATCAAAATGTTAATCCTTACTTTTATTTGTGAGTGAATTGTGTCATGTTAGCATTTGTTATGGTTGACTGCACTACAGAGGGAAAAAAGTATTGTAAATTTTGATGCAGTGCAGCTGTACAAACCGTTATGTAAGTGTCAGTTTTTAATTGGCTGGCTGTGTGCTTTTTTCTCTTGATCTATCTGAATGTTAGTAAATCATGTTGTGGTGGCATATAGTAGAGTGAGAATAAATTGTGTGTCTATATATATATAAATTTACCATATGGGTGTTTATATATCAATATTGTTCTTAGCTACAGTATATATCTTTATATTGTAAATAAGGTAGTACAGTGGGTCGAGAGGTTTTATCACATGCACACTTAGTGTATAATATATATCAAATCACCTCAAGACATGTCACTTTTTGGTGGCTAGATGTCACAATGGATTATTAACTGATTTTTCATCTCTGTAGATCTAGGACCAAGTTCAGCTCTGAACTGGCTAGAAATCCAATGAAAACTCGTGTTTAGTCCAGGATTGAATTTGGCCCATAATCTCAATTTTTGTTTTTGTTAGCTCATAAATGAAGATTAGCTTGGTGGTCTCCTCACTGTCTCTGGTGGGTCTTCATCTGCATCATACGTGAGGCAAGTAGGCAATGTGGCCATTCTTTCTCATTTGATCTCAAATGCAAGAAGAGTCCCAGCTTGAAAATTGTCATCTGAATGTCCAGTTGTAATATGTGTATCCGGAGATGAAATAAACACAAGAATATCCTTGATGTACAGGTAACCTGGTGAGAAATCCAATGAAGGCTAGTGAGATTCCTGGAAGAAATAACAGAGCTCTTATTTAACATCATAATGGACTTCTCAAGATTCATTGTCCTGAGAGATCTGATCATCCACATAGACAACACATCTAACAGCATAGTTTGCTATTTCCTACTTACTGTAGATTTTTCTCAAGTTGTCTTCAGCATCACCCACAAAACTGAACACACACTAGAGCTCATCTTTGGCATTGTTGTCCACTCTAACTGATCCAGTCTGTCCTCTTGCAGAGACCATCACCTTCTAATGATAAAGATTAAATGAATCAATAATTTCCACTTCAGTGAATGAAGCTTCTAGAAAATGTCCAGAAGGAGTTGACAAACTAGCAGAACGCTACAATCAACTGCTGACTGAAGCCTTTGATTGCTCCCCAAAGCCCCTTCCCTCATACCACCTCTGTAAATTACTGTGATTTTTCTGAACTCTACCTAGTGAAGCAAAAAACCAGTTGAGTGAAGTGCGTATGGGGCAAGATCCACTTGGCAACCCGTGAAATTCTCAAGATGCAACTTCATATTGTAGCAACACAACTCTTTCATCATAGCAAAACTTAGCATTTCTCCCTCCGGTGTTGGGATCTGGAGAAAATCAGTCCTATGATGGAGGTTTAATTTTTAATGTTTCCTTATTTACAGAGCAGGCCCTAGGGTTGGCCTTGAGGTTTCTTTAAACAAACAGACAAATTTCCTAACTCCCACTGGAGTACTTCCTCTTATGCTAGCTACTAATCGCCAGTAACCCTCTCTAACCCACACGGTGTTGGGAACCCAGGTCCCCACCCCAAACAGAAATTAAACACAAGATTTCCCTTATAGAGAAAAACAATTCTTTACCTGGGAAGAACCTTTTCCCTTTGTGGCACACAGCTCTTTTGCAGCTTGCTTTTCATCCCTCCTCTCCCTGCTCTCTCCTGATCAGTTTTTTAGAGATCACATGTTCGACTCTGGTGACCATAATTAACCTGAGGTAACTTCTTTTGGTTCATAGGAAAAGGGGCTTTAAGACTGATATACCTGGCTTCAACCACCCTTTTAGATCTGTCAGATCTGACTTTGTCACACTATATACTCAACAGCCATAAAGAAAACTAAAGGGACATATGACACAACTGAATCCTTTGTGTCCCTCTCAGACACAACTGCGCCAGCTTGCTAAAGCTGAGCAGAAGTGTTTCATACATCTCTAAAACTGACCTCCTGTCCTTCATGAAAAGTGAAGTCCAGTGGGAAACACCTAGTCCCCTTGATAACTGAGATAACCTGTGCCTCCCTCAAAAAGGCAAACTATCAGTTATCTAATGAATGCAGTACTCAGACCTTGGAGAAGCCAACCCTTAAAACAGCCTCACTGAATGCCACCCACTCTCCAATCCCAATTTCTTTGGTAAAGTTTATTGAGACCCCAAGCTCCAGCAATATCTGTCAAAATCTATATATATCACAGTCATGTTTCAGACCTGGCAATGGCACCAAAATGGTCCTGAGGAACACTGTCCGTTGTTCATGGCACTAAGGGACTACCTTCTTCTGCTCTTAAGCAACAAATCAGATTCTTTGTTGATATTGCTAGATCTCTCTGCATCCTTCAAAACCATGGATCATATATGGTACTGATAACAAGCAAACAAAATCTTATCTGAGAATGGCTCAGCACTGTGTAGGATGCACTTGTTCCTTTCATATAAGTTCCAGAGAGTTGAGACGGGCACCTGTTCCTTGTCAAAACTGTTAAATAGACAAATTATCACCATCATGCACTTCTGCATAACTGACAGTCCCTTCTCGAGACGCTCAGTACTGGAACAGCTGAGATGATGTGAATTACAAATAAGCCACGTTGTCAAAGCTGTTATTGGCACGAACAGACTGTGTAGTATCTGCTGGCACTGTACCCAACTCATGCCATGTTCTAAATCACTCTCATTAACTAAAACTCACCCACACAATCTTTAGCAAAAAAACACACAATCTGTAAAAAACATGCAGATGACTGTTCATGCTAATAGATTTATTGTTGTCAAAGGAAGAAATTTGTCACCTTTCTAAATTGTTACAGTCACACAGTATATAATTTAGGATAAATCTTTAAAGCACATATACAATAATCCATCAGTGCTATGGCCTTTTAAAATGTGTATGAAATAAAAAATGTTGAAATTATTTATGAATGGAGCTACTGGTAAAGATTTGGCAAGGTTCATTTCATAAATAATCTGATAAATCATGGAAACAATGAATTACATTTGTACCAGTCAGAAGTGAACTAGTTAGGTTAGACTTAATATAATAATAATATTCTTAAAGTATAATTATTAATGATACTTTTGTTGTTTTCTTTCTTTCAGATGGGTATCATTAAATATACAGATAGAAGTATGGGGATGGAGGATAGCATTACTTTATACTGCTGATGGAACTCTTTGAAGAAAAGAAATAGTCAGTATAAATAGGTAAAGGTTAGAAATCAGTTACACTTTATTGATGTAATTTCTTGTAAATTTAATGTAATTCTAGGAAAGCTTCAAAAGAATGATACATTTGTACACTTCTTTGCATATATTACCTCTGTGAAGATAATTAACACATCATTAGAATCATAGAATCAAAGACTAAGCTCAGAAGGGACCATTACGATTGTCTAGTCTGACCTCCTGCACAATGCAGACCACAGAATCTCACCCACCCACTCCTGTAACAAACCCCTAACCTATGTCTGAGCTATTGAAGTTCTCAAATCGTGGTTAAAGACTTCAAGGTGCAGAGAATCCTCCAGCAAGTGACCCGTGCCCCATGCTGCAGAGGAAGGCGAAAAACCCCCAGGGCCTCTGCCAATCTGCCCTGGAGGAAAATTCCTTCCTGACCCCAAATATGGCGATCAGCTAAACCCTGAACATGTGGGCAAGACTCACCAGCCACACACCCAGGAAAGAATTCTCTGTAGTAACTCAGATCCCACCCTATCTAATATCCCATCACAGGCCATTGGGCATATTTACCACTAATAGTCAAAGGTCAATTAATTGCCAAAATCATGTTATCCCATCATAGCATCCCCTCCATAAACTTATCAAGCTTAGTCTTGAAGCCAGATATGTCTTTTGCCCCCACTGCTCCCCTTGGAAGGCTGTTCCAGAACTTCACTCCTCTGATGGTTAGAAACCTTTAATTTCAAGTCTAAACGTCCTGATGGCCAGTTTATATCCATTTGTTCTTGTGTCCACGTTGGTACTGAACTTAAATAATTCCTCTCCCTCCCTGGTATTTATCCCTCTGATATATTTATAGAGAGCAATCATATCTCCCCTCAGCCTTCTTTTGGTTAGGCTAAACAAGCCAAGCTCCTTGAGTCTCCTTTCATAAGATAGGTTATCCATTCCTCGGATCATCCCAGTAGCCCTTCTCTGTACCTGTTCCAGTTTGAATTCATCCTTCTTAAACATGGGAGACCGGAACTGCACATAGTATTCCAGATGGGGTCTCACCAGTGCCTTGTATAACGGTACTAACACCTCCTTATCTCTACTGGAAATACCTCGCCTGATGCATCCCAAGACCGCATCAGCTTTTTTTCACGGCCATATCACATTGGCAGCTCATAGTCATCCTGTGATCAACCAATACTCCGAGGTCCTTCTCCTCCTCTGTTACTTCCAACTGATGTGTCCCCAGTTTATAACAAAAATTCTTGTTATTAATCCCTAAATGCATGACATTGCACTTTTTCACTATTAAATTTCATCCTATTACTATTACTCCAGTTTACAAGGTCATCCAGATCTTCCTGTATGAAATCCCGGTCCTTCTCTGAATTGGCAGTACCTCCCAGCTTTGTGTCATCCACAAACTTTAGTAGCACATTCCCACTTTTTGGGTCAACGTCAGTAATAAAAAGATTAAATAAGATTGGTCCCAAAACCGATCCCTGAGGAACTCCACTAGTAACCTCCCTCCAGCCTGACAGTTCACCCTTCAGTATGACCCTTTGCAGTCTTCCCTTTAACCAGTTCCTTATCCACCTTTCAATTTTCATATTGATCTCCATCTTTTCCAATTTAGCTAATAATTCCCCATTTGGAACCGTATCAAATGACTTACTGAAATCGAGGTAAATTAGATCCACTGCGTTTCCTTTATCTAAAAAATCTGTTACCTTCTCAAAGAAGGAGATACGGTTGGTTTGGCATGATCTACCTTTTGTAAAACCATGTTGTATTTTGTCCCAATTACCATTGACCTCAATGTCTGTAACTACTTTCTCCCTCAATTTTTTTCCCCAATACCTTGCATGCTACACGTGTCAAACTAACAGGCCTGTAGTTACCTGGATCACATTTTTTCCCTTTCTTAAAAATAGGAACTATGTTAGCAATTCTCTAGTCATACGGTACAACCCCTGAGTTTACAGATTCATTAAAAATTCTTGCTAATGGGCTTGCAGTTCATGTGCCAGTTCCTTTAACATTCTTCAATGAAGATTATCTGGGCCCCCCGGTTTTAGTCCCATTAAGCTGTTCCAGTTTGGCTTCTACCTTGGATGTGGTAATATCTACCTCCATATCCTCATTCCCATTTGTCATCCTACCATTATCCCGAAGTTCATTAAAGACTGAGGAAAGTATTTGTTTAGATATTGGGGCATGCCTAGATTATCCTTAACCTCCACTCCATCCTCAGTGTTTAGCGGTCCCACTTCTTCTTTCTTTGTTTTCTTCTTATTTATATTGATATAGACTCTTTTACTATTGGTTTTAATTCCCTTTGCAAGGTCTATATGTTTATTATATAATATGCCTTTTTTTGTTGTTCATGTCAGTGCTTTTTGAAGAAGTGTTATTTCTTGGTAGTGTGACTTTTATCAGTAAATAGTGAATAATTTGAATCCCCTGTAAGAAGTCTTTTCTGAGATGTAAAGGTTCCACATGATGGAATTTCTATTTTTGATATTCCATGTGTTATGAAGGAGACCAGACTAGATTATCGTAATAGTCCTTTCTGGCTTAAAGTCTATGATTCCACAAGATATATGCTAAATCAGGGCATTACACACTATTAAACCTCGTGCAAGAAATGTTACACTTTTGAGGCTTCCCCCCCTCGCCCCCCCAACCTTAGGTGTTCTTATTCTTTTTAATCCACTTTGGTGTTCAAGGGAGCGAGGGAATGATTACATAGAACAGGCAGAGAGAATGAGAGGGATGCATAGTAAAGACTTCGCAAGCTTCCCCAATACACAATTCTGCCACTTATGAAAGCTTATGGCAGAGTCCTCCCAGTCCGTTCAAAATGCTAATTTAAGTTTAAAAAAAAAAAGGAAATTGCTTTATTTTGGTAAGAAACATACACACACTTCCAGCTCTGAGGCCCACAGGGTGTATATCTGACTACCTAGGTTCATATATGGCACCAATTAGAATAATATCTGAGCATCTCATAAGTGTTTCAAAATTGAACTAACCCATCTCTCTCTATTGTCCACTTCCCAGTCTGTAGGAGTAAATAGCTTTATTCTATTGGTGTGTGTGGCTGTGTTTGGCAAAATTATTGAGGAAAAGCTAAGCCAAAGCAACAGGCTTTGCATTTAGTTCTCAATGCAGTGAAATTAATAGTCAGTCTTATCTTTTCTGGGAGTGAGTTCCATAGTCTATGTTCAGCTTCTGTGCAAGTTATGACTCCTAAGAATCAATTTTTATACTCTGAGGGCAGATACCTCCGCCATTTTTAGGGCGAATTTTTCAAAGTGCTTCACTCTCCCTACCAGCATCACTTTCAAGTTACCTTTCATTGTTTCAAACAGCTCTTGAGTCCGATGTTTATATTATTTCGGCACTTGTAGGAAATTGTAGTGATTCTTGCGTAACCCACATATTGTTCACATTTCAGACTGTGTTGTCTCACCAGTTCTCTTGATGTCTTCTTGTAGATGTTGAGTAAGATGATGTAAAAAGTTGAGCTTTGTGGGACTCTTTAGGGGGAGGGCTCTGGAAGAGGAGGAGCAGTTGTCCATAAGGACTTTATTTTGGTCTGAGAGAAATGACTTGAGCCATTACACAGGATTTCTCTTCACCCATGGGACAGGAGTATTTGGTGATCAGTGATATCAAATGCTGCGGAGATGCATCCAGCAGGATGAGGATGGCTCTATGTCTGTTGTCTATGGACAGGAAGAGGCCATCTGGCAGAACAACCAGAGCTGTCTTGCTACCGTGTTCTCTTCTGAGAGAGTTCCAAGAAAATGGTCCCTGAGAGGTGACTATGAGGACTTGTTTTTGCCAGCTTCTTGATTTAGCTTGCTTAGAAAAGGAAAGCTGAGTACTAGGTGGTAGGATAAGACATCTCTCAAGCTACTGAATGAAGATTTCTGTACTGTTGTTCAGACTGTTGTGTGCTTCAGGGTTGGTGACATATTACTTTGAAGGATATAGAGCAGGGAAATTTACCGCCTCACAGGGATTTCCATCCACAGCCACCTTCTCATACTTGTGCAGCCCAAGCTACTTTAGCATAATCTTCCAGATTACAAAATTTTTACATAGTTCGGGCAACTAACCTATATTTCCCTTCAGTGGACCAGCAAGGGTACCCACTCACAGGCTTCTGTCTCCCCTGGCTGTCACCTCTCTTAGGTGGTGGAGACCAGGGTATTTCCAGGCTGAACAATTCCCTGCTTTCACTGTGTTATTCCCAACAAAATACACTCTGCCTAAGCAGGCCCACTTCACTTTATCTTCAGAGACTGCCTCTCTGAATTACCCTAGCATAATTTACAACTGGGACAATCATTACAAATTTACAACTAGGGCAATTATCTTCAGAGACTGCTTGCAGCTTGCTTAATTACCCCAGTTGTATAATTGCCCCAGCATAATTGCCCCAGTTGTAAATTACTGCATAGTTCTTTCTAAGCAAGCATATTTTATTCTTAAGGTAAAAGCACTACAGATGAACAATAAAAGAGCCTACCTGCATGCTAATAAGCTTACGAGAGATCACCCTCTCCAACACGGGCTCTGGAAAGAGTACTCCTTCAAAACCGCATCCAGGGTTTTCCTGTGATTTGAAGTTCATCACACCCTTTGCTCAGAACTAGAAACTCTTATGTGGCCTTACTAGGCCAAAGTCCTTCCAACCGTTCCCTAAGGATTAGGGTCCTCTGTGGATCAGCAGTCCTGTCTGTTTGCTGGATCAGAACAAAAACCTTGAGTCAGTTCACCACCTGGTTATTTATCCCAACATCCTGTCTTTGTCTGCAGCTCTCTAGAGAACCTTTTAAGAGATCAGGAATAGGTAATCAGCCAGGCAATGTGTCTCCTTCCTACGGTGAAGGGCTGATAACTAAAGAATTGTATTAGGGTACCCCTTCCTTGTAGAGAAGTTATATACAATCTCACAAAAACACATAACATTTTCATTTTTATACAATGGACCCCAAGGCATTAAACTTAATTCAGCA